GACACGGGTCTGACGGTTTTAAATAGACACCATTGAGTGACCTAAGAGTTGGAGAGGAGGCAGAATGAAAGGAGGAAGCAGACCTTGATGCTCCTGCCTGCTAGCTGTGGGATAGCAAGTCCTCCTCTTTCTTGGCCCATTTTCTTACCTTGGGCTAGATCACGTCTAAGGTTTCTTCTAGCTTGAAAATCTCACGACTTTTGTGATTAGGTAGGTAGTACAATGGCTTTCTTTTAAGAGGAGGTCTTCGGATCGATTCAGGAGAATCCAAACGATGTGCCTATTACAGAAGAGGGTGCACACACAAGGCGACTCCCTGAGGATAGCTCCCTAGTCAACAAGAGAAGCGTCCGTAGGAAAAGTGTTTGGATAAAATATGTAAAACTCACCTGGTTCTAAAAATCAGAAGACAGGGTACATGGACTGCACTAGTTTATACTTCGGTGTCTTCTAGAGTGTTCCAGCAGTGGCAGTAGCTCAGGAATACTACATTTTCCAATGCATGTCCAGGAAGATTCCTCTGTGAGTACACTCACTCATGTATTAACGGGGAGGCTGGCAGTTGGAACCCAGCAGTGGCTGGACGAGAGAAGACACTTGGCTAGCAGCTCTGCTAAAGACACAAGTCCTACGGGGTAGTCCAGCTCTGTGGCTCTGCATCTGAATGGCCTGTACAGTACACAACGGCAGTGTGTGTGAGTGTGTGTTATCTGAATGTCCAAGAAAAATCTCCAGGCACACAAGCCTAGATGAAGCCTGCAGACAGAGAGGCAGAGCAGGAGCCTACACTGCAGTAGTGCTAGGATTGAGCAGTAGGGACTCAGGACACTACAGACATTTCCAAAGCACGGGGTGGGGGGGGGGGGCGTCTGGAAGCAGTCTGGGCCCTGTGGAAGGCACCATGGTGAAAGACAAGCCTGAAAAAGTCACACCCCTCGCACAAGGAAGCTCGTCTCTGTTGTCGGCCTGGGTGCATGTGTTTGTCACGAGAAATGGAAACTTCAGCCCGTGCAAGGAACTGCATTCATCCTAATCACAGGGCAAGGAAAACCAGAGGCTGAGCAATTAAGACAAAAAAGTGGTTCCAGGGGGTGATCGCTCAGGGCTACAGGGTCGGAAGCTAGTGCCAACCATCCAGAAACGACTTGTGAAGGCGTTCCTCAGAAACAAGACCACTTCAGATGAGCTCACCATAAAAATCACATCTTAAAGAAAATGGTCAGCCATGAGGTAGTGAACAGACACAATAAACAGATTTGAAGCCCAAGAACTTCAATTAAGCCAAGACCAATCTTTTTTTTTTTTTTAAATCATTTTATTGGGGGCCTGTACAACTCTTATCACAATCCATCCATCCATCCATCCATCCATCCATCCATCCATCCATCCATCCATCCATCCATCCATCCATCCATCCATCCATCCATTGTGCCCAAAAACAATCTTATAGTAGAAATTGTCTAAAACCATTAAAGGCATAAATGACTCCACAGAAACCCTAAGAATCAACCACTAATCACACTCCATTGTCATTGAGTTGATTGCCACTTACCTGTGAGACAGAGCAGGGGGTTTTGCCAATTAGACTGCATCCTTTCTCCTAAAGGGCAACGGGTGGGGTCCAGCTACTGGCTTTAGGGTTAGCAGCCCAAGGCTTAACCCATTGCACCACCAGGACAAAACTAGGTAAATATGCTACTCAAAAACGTATCACTGAAAATTGCCAATATTGATATTTTTATATGAGCTGTGAGTAGTACGCATTTTAGAATGCCTTCCAGGAAGGAGATGGGGCAATATATAGCTGTGCCTGGGCCCCTCTGGTGTCAAAGGTGCCGATGGAATGGCTAATGGCTCTGTGCACTCTCGTGGCTGCTGGGCACACATCGGTTTTTAGGCCAAAAATGTGGCCAGTGTGGCTGAGCTACTGAGCTTTTAACTATACTCATTCACTTTAAAACGTTACATAGAATTAGCTTACTGGAAAACTTTGAAGTACATTTAGAACAACTTGCATATGTATGTACATGGAAACATGTATGCTTAGGAAACAAATGCTTTCTGATGGACAAGTTTATGTCCAAATTGAGATGTGTCCTCAGAGTAAGATACATACTGGCTTTTGAAGATTTGTAAGGAAAAATGGGAAAATATTAATTTTTAAAGCCATTGACTATGTGTTGCAAGAATTTCTGGATGTTGGATCAAACACATTATTGAATTAATTTCATGGTTGCTTTTAATGTGGCTATTAGAAAAATTTCAAATCACATTTTAAATCACATGATTTCTTTTAGATGGCACTGCACTAGGACATAGCCTTAAGGTGAAAATTGGCTTTCTAAGAGTGTGAGATTTTTAAAAAAATCAATTTATTGGGGCTCATACAATTCATCACAATACATAGATCAATTGTGTAAAGCACATCTATACATTTGTTGCCCTCA